GTGTTAATGTCCCGACATATTTAGAATTTTACGCAAAATGTTGTATTATATTACATTCGAATAAATGGATTTCAATAGCAATAAAGTAATGATAAAAGTAATCTATGTAAATGAAATGATAACTGTGCGTGCATTGCTAAGTACGTTCGAGAATTTATGTACGTTGTGTCGTGGGTTGTCAATGTGCGGTGACATGTTCCAGCAAAAACACCTGCGAAGCCTCCTGAGTATTTTCCAAATAAATTAACATCAAAAATCAATTTTTTTAACTGATACTTTTTACCCCTATAATTTGTGGAACTTTATTAAAACTTTAACTACTGTTTAATCACTATAGCTTTGGTTAATTTCAAATAAATTAATGCTTGCGTATTTTTCAAGTTTATTTTATAAAAATTCTTCTGTACTTATATTATAAATAGGTAAAGGTTGAGTTTTTGAGTTTGTGACGTTGTAGGGGGTAATCTCTGGATCTACTGAACCGATTTAGATAAAATTTGGTAAAAAGATAGTTTGAGACCCTGGGAAGGACATACTAGGATATTTTTTATCTCGGAAATCATTCCTTAAGGGGTTGAAAATGAGTATGAAAGTTTATATGGGGAATCAATTATAAACACAAATAGTAGATTAAGTACGAAAATTTGCAAATTTGAATTTATAAAAATATATTTAAAAGTACAAAAAATTTGAAAACTTAAAAGTGCAAACTTATCGTGCATTAAAACGAAGATTCCATTTTAGGCCTATTTAATGATAATATTGTCATGATATATATTTTTAAAATGATAAGATTTTTAAACTTAAAAAGCTTTTTCTGTAATCTAAAAAAATAAATAACACACTTAACGTTTTTCGAAAATGGAAGACATGCACAATTGATGCACTTTTCTGTCTTATTTTAATCTTTTTTGTTTCAGAATTATGATTCACGTACACTTCTTTGCATGCATAGTACCTATGTACAAGTTGTGTTGCCATCTTACTAATCTATAGCTACATATAATAAAATTCTAAGCCGAATCTGTACATTAAATATTTATTGGAAAATCTTATTGCAATAGACATTATTATCGATACAGAGGCCGAATCTATAGTTTTTAGAATTTTTGTCTGTCTGTCTGTCTGTTACCGCATCACGGAAAAACCACTGGAAGGATTTTGATGAAATCTGGTATGATGGTAGCTGGTTATCCGAGTCAACATATAGGATACCTTTTACTGCGGGAAAATATTTCATTTCTGAGAAAAAAATACAAAAACTGCAATGTAAGAGTATACTAATATGTAAAACTTAAGAATTTGATTTTTGGTTATCTGAACACGGGAGGAGCCGCGGGCAATGCTAGTATTATATAAAAATGAAAAAGCTTAGATGTTTGGATGGATGTTTGTTACTCAATCACGACAAAACGGCTAAACGGATCTGGATGAAATTTGCCATAGGGATAGTTATAGTCTGGAATAGCACATAGGCTACTTTTTGTCCCGGAAAAATGTACGGTTCTCGTGGGATAGATTTGTTTTTGTTTTCCTTGAGGCGAAACCGAGCGAAGCGAGGGTGAACCGCTAATTTATATAATAAATCTAGTCTTCTCTATGGATTCTTAGAATATTTTGTCATTCATCATCATATTAAAAATGTCTAAATTTCAAATGAGTAAATGGTTCCGAGTACAAAGATATTTTTACATTTCTCAAGCGAAATCACCGTACGCTGAAATAATTTGAAGTAAATGAAAGAAAACAAAATAATATGTTGCATCAAAAACATAGTTTATAAAACTTTATATGCCTTGTCATTAGACATTGACTGTAGTAAGTACTTTGTGTAAATATAATGAAAAATCGTTTACTATAACGTTTTTACCTCAATTGCCCATAAATTTTAGGACAAAAGCTAAAAACAAGGCGTGTAGGCGGCGAGCCTCGTCGACTGACAGTACAACCGTCCTCCGAAGCATATTAAAACTATACTTTATGATTGAGCGAATAAGAACTACACACTTCACAACTTGTTGGTTCCAGTGTACACTTTATGCGGACGTCTTTAATTGTATCGCGTATTTGGTGCGTTGTTTCATTTAAATATCCTTTATTTATTTATTTTTTAATCTGAATCCTTGAAACAGGTCGGTGTCCTGCGCCTGTGTGGGTTTACTTGACTTGCATGTTATTTTAATTAAAGACCTCCTCAATTTAGGGCAAAGACCTACAAAATTCGGCAATCTTTAAAATAAGGTTTGATAAAAAATAATATCCACTTAAGGTACCTACTATGTATTAATAATAGTTTTTTTTTAAAGTACACTTATATATGTCCTCTATGCATAAATATTAGGTATTTCTGTAAATAATTTGAAATAAGACATTGCTGAGTAATCTTATACTTGTATTTTCTACAATAATTTAGTCAGTCACATTTACTTATTCGGCTAACGATCATTGTCATTGTTACTGGTTGTTTGAAAATAGCTAGTTAGATCAATTTAAGTATTATTTATGCAACACAACACAGAATTAAATCTCACCAGACTAGATGCCGCTTAAACAATGATCATAATGTATAGATCAATTATATTTTATCTAGCAATACACGCGATATAAACTTTTGATATAAGTATCAGTTTTACAATAATATATGGAAGTCTGCCCAATTTGTTGACTTTTACGATTACTGCTCCTTTGGGTAATAGCATGATGATAACAACGTATAGCATTTCTCAATAAATAATGCAAAAAGAATTTTTCAAATAGGATTAGTAGTTCCTGAGATTAGCACGTTCAAACAAACAAACTCTGTCTCTTTATAATATTAGCTCTTATAATTAAAGAGATTTACAAATAGCGAAACTAAAATAAATGAAAAATTAAATATATACATAGATATTTAGATTAAAAAGTTGCTTGTGTTTTTATTATTTCTAAAGCTTCTCGCGGCAAAAAAATCTAATTTTAAAATTATATACGAGTAATATATAGAGTTTTTGTTATGGTGTTACAGTAGCGATTTAACGCTACGTGACACAATGTCATGATACTATAAGAGATAACTTTGAATATACGATTATTCGCTGAAATACGTGCTCTGAATTAGTATGAGAATATCATTTTCAACTATACCTCTACAAAGTTGCAAAGTTTAGTGAAAAAGCTTGTTGCTACTACTCGTAAAATTACTCCAACTTATGGGAAAAAATAAATTAAATGAATTATTCTTTTATAAAGAAAAAGTCATAGATAGGTGCTGCATTTTAATATTAGTACAGTAGTATAAATTAATATGTTATCTTCAATGTTCTAACATACTCGTAACTGAGGGCTGACGACAAATTTTACAATTTTTGTCAGGCTCCAATTTTTTTTGAAGTTATAACTTAAAATAACGTTTTTAATAATTTATTGTACACTTTTCATTAATATGGAGGATATTATATCTAACAATCATTTTAGCATCAACAAATGTCAATACAAAATGCGTCAGCTCTTACTTAACTTTTGACCTCCATCTTAGCCGCCTAAACGCATAAAGCCGTAACTTTTTTTCCATTAGATCTTTGTAATAAATCACACTTTATCTTTGCATTAAAATATTTACAATATAAACCCTTGAATGTAATGAATCATTAATTTAAAAATGCTCTCTCTACCTTCCAACTACAGCAGATCAGACGAGTGAGAAAGTAAGTTTGGAATAAATAATAAATAGTTTTAACTTATAGATACAAAATCAGATATCTCATTACGTACTTTTATAGCAGTGTCTCAGGTCGGCCTACGTAAAATACGGCCGTGTAACACGACACCCAGTGTAGGCCGTTTGCCTGCCCGTGTGTTCGCTAGTCTCGCTCCATTCCTTTTATTGTTCAATAATACTCGAGACAACATTGTGGTTTGTTTTAATAAGAAACTAGTAAAGCCTTTAGACTGTGCCCAATATTATATTTCATTTATAGGATCGTTTTTCACGATCGGTCTAAAATCTAAGTAATATTAAAAATATGTTTATGCCAATGCCATTTAGACGGGCATTTTTGTTTATTTCAACTAATAATATTATTCATTCATATTATAAGTATTTTTTCTCATTTCATATTGTGAGATAAGTATTAGCGTTGTGAAATCATTTAACGAGCATGCCTCAAGTGAATCAGTTACAATAACAAGTTCCATATTTTTTTCCCTTACGTAATTATAGACACTATAAATCTTCATATAACAAGAGGCGCTGACTCTAATAATGCCGCAAATTATCTATGTTTGTATAACAAAAGCTTGGTGTATTTTTATAAAATAAACTCTTAAATGATGATTAGCAATACATCAGTATTTTCAGGTTTTATTCTGAATTATTTCTTATACTATCGATACACATTAGTGTATTTTATATAAAAAATATTTTGCTGTCAGTCAAATTTAAATATGTAATCAATATGCCTACTTATTGGGAGAATAAAATCAAAAGTTGTGGTATATTATTCTACACTATTATAATAAATGTTTCGATAAGAAAATCACTTTCTCGTCTCATCTCAAAGCGTTGGAACTCGGCGCGTTGTATTTTATTACCTTATAATTTATAGAACAATTCGATAAATAAAGTAAGTAGTTGTGTAATAAAAAGAATATATAGTTTTAAAATTGTTTATTTATTATAATATAGATTATACACCTACTTTTAAAGTTTCAGTCAAATAAATACACGAATTTTCGCTTTTTTTTTCTTCAAAATAAATATCACTAAAATTGTACAACAATAAGCTATTTACATTATATCACAAATAATATTTGAAAGGACCTAATGTATTAGTTAGTAGTATCACGTCTACTTACAGTCAGTTCGATCCACATGGAATATTCGATAGCTCGAACTATAGAACAATCGCGCACTTCTTATTAGAAACTAATGCACATCTAATCCAATAAACTAAAATGACTCGAGGATTACTTAGCGTACACTAGTTCACTCACTTCACTACCTGACTGGTACGATCAGTTCAAAGCTTTTCGAAGGCCCTCGAATTTGTGAGCATTTCTCTCGTCAGCCGCCACACCTGCTTTGCGGCATTCTCCATTGCAGTCGGTGATTTTCCTTTGAATAAGTCAACATGAGGAAGGAAGTAGTGCGGGCATCGCCGGCACTGAAGGGAAGATATCAATTGAAGAAAGATCCCATTTATCCTGTCTCCAATGGCGGCTTCATCCCATTCGTGCTCCCTGGGATGTTTCTCGCATTCGTACAATAAAAGCGTTTTCATGTGATAACACGTGACCGGATTGCCGGGCAAGTCTAAGTGTCGATCTCTAATAGTTTTTAATATGCTCAAACATTTCCGCCGACATCCGCCTTGAAGGAGACGGTTTTCGGCCTCAAAAAAACTGAGGACCCACGCATCACCTTCCATGGCAGAGTTTTTGCCCTGCAACGTTAAGCATTCTTTCGAAAGAAGATCAAATCCTTCTGTTTTTACTTCGGCCACAATGTTAGGATGCGGCCACGGTATAGTCGGTAGGGGCCAGTGTGCCGCCGACCTGGGCCACAAACCGGCGCATTTGAAAGCTGGTGTTATCTGCACAATATATCTCTCACGTATACGCAACTTCACTTCCGTAGTTTCCGCTATCATTTTCACACAATCTCTGTAGGAGCATTTATCACAAGCCTGAGCTACTAATGTCTGGAATCGAGATCTAATTTTTCTCGCAGATAGATAACCTGAGGCAGTAATGAACTCTACCCACAGGGACATTGAACGTTTCCTTCCGTCGCTCAGCTTCAAAACGGCGCAACCAGGTAAAGATCCGTCGTCGACGAAATTCAAAACTCCCATTTGATTTAAATATATGATAATTTCGAATTCATGTGGCGAAACAACTTCGAGGCCGTCGAATCGACCATTGTAATCCGTAAGCGAGGATATGAACCTCGGCTCCTGCAGCTCCACTTCTTTGAGGACATCCTGTACTATCCTGCATACTTCGTGAATGGTTTTCGCGATTTGGGCCTTGCGGTTCGCGACCCGCTCGTTGTAGTACTTATTCATCTGATAGACTAGTTTCGATTGAGCCGCCATCATCTCAGGTGGGACGAGCATGGTGGCTTCACCCGGTTATCATGGTCCGGCGGCGTTGCACGCACGCGCACGGCACGCAGACGTTCTAAGACTGAGTGGTTTCGACTCGACGGACGATGAAAGACGGTGTACGCCCATCATGGTGCCGGCCAATGAGCGCAGGCTGTTCGTTCTCACTCGTGTAGAACTATCTTTGCGCGAGCGGGACAGCAACACTCCTCGGCCGAGGCGTAAGCGTAGTATTGATCGGACGCAAGCCCCGCCTCCTTCGAATAGGTATTCGGCGCTAAGGTCGTGATCGTAATTACATGATCGGCTTAGAACGATCCTCGTTAATTCGGTAGCCCGATGCTATTAATGGCAACGTCTTTCGATGCTTTTTTATCATGTTTTTAATTATAACGGCTAATTTAATTCGATGTTGGCACGCATGTCATAACTTCTGATATCAAATGAGCTTGTACATGTAATTTGTCGCATGTTTTTTCCATATATAGATACAAATGTGTTGTGTCGTTTGTGTCATATTGCTACGCGTATTACTTGGGATTCTTTGAATGGCTAGATAATAATCAAGTGCCGAGTTTATTCCGAATGTAGGTACTCATGTGAAATGCAACATGGTTATGTTTATTTTAATATTTTCTTGTAACTTTATATGTTAGTAAATTTCATTCCGTGCAAAATTTCCTTAATTATAATAAATTAACACAAGCGACTTACATTAAGTAACTTTTATATTGTTTCACTATCTTGTTATGCCTGTTTGAGTCAACAAGGGGTAAGACAAGTAGGCATTCTATTTGCATTGCTAACATATTTAATGTCAATTTGTGTTAAAATGCTGAAGTTGAAAATAATAAAAATTCCCATATAAAATACTTAAAGTTAGATGTTTATTTTGCTGGAAACTCATAATAATTTATTAAACCTAGTCAACACATTGAGAAAAATAAATAACATATACCTAACTAAGTAATTTAAATTAAAAATTTTGATAAATATACCTATGTTAAAAAATATTTTATACTCGTAGTAGGTAGGTACCTATTTATAAAGTATCAAACTAAGTTTGATCTAACAAAATAAGAGAAAAAATCACGTACGTTTTAGAAGTAAAACTAGCGAATCACCCTCGCTTCGCTCGGGTTTGTCATTAGGTTGATTCCTCATACAATTTTTATTCCCCCATTATCACTCCCTTAAGGGATGATTTCCGATATAAAAACTGTTTCCAGGGTCTCAAACTATCTTATACCAAATTTCATTTCTTCATGTCATCATATTTAGGTACCTACTATATTAAATTTTATGCTATAAAAAGAAAGAGTTTTGAAGAATTAATTTGACCATAGTATTCTTTGTTAACTCTAGGTACTATTAAGAATCCTAACAATCCTATTGAATCATAAATACCTACAGGAACGATCGTTAAAAATTAGTAAAATTTTAAATAGAACTATATTTAAAAAAAAAATCGCGGATTTATTTTAATTTTTGGTTCCCGGTGTTTCGAATGCTTTGAGACACCTAAGACCTTAGTCTCTCCCGTGACCATGATCGGAAACCAAAAATCAAAATAAATCCTCGAAATAATCCGAAAAGATTATTTAAAATATCAAATATTAGCGTAAATCTAAGAAAGTATGGTAAAATTATTTTCAATTTGCATAAGCATTCTCTCATTGAGCATTTTTATATCTTTGTAAGACCAAAAATTACTAAAACATCATTGTTGTGACGGTTAACTTTTTTATACCTACATTTTGCTGTGTAAAATTTAAATATGAATTTATTGAACATTATTCGCATTCAATACTTGATTTTTATGAGCAGTACACATTTATAATTAGTATCAAATATCCTATAAGCATTAACGTGAATAGTCCCATGTCTTCCATACAGGAATGCCTATTTCGGTCGGGATTGATAGCGCCTCTCGTCGTGATGGATGGTTGTAAGACGCTTGATTTACGCGATGTCCTCACGATTCATGCCGGTACCTGGAGAACGGGGAATGCTCCCCGATTTAGAATTTCTCTCTAGTTAAAATATTTCCAAAAAAAAATAAAGAAAACGTAATATATACATAGTTTTATTTAATTACTTTGAGGCAGTGAATCTGTTGTTGATCGCTTTCCACCAATTACGTTCATTCGATCGTTTTTATATATCTCCATTCCGGTACCTATTATAGACGAAGCTATATAAGACTCGAGAAAGTTTTAATTTACTCTTTCAATATAATTATTGATATACTTTATCGTAACCTGTTAAAACTCATAACTAGAGTTACAGGATATGAAATCAGATAACCGCAAATGGTACGACATAAAACGATTTTTACCTCTTTGCTAATTAGATAGCTTTATTAACTTTTTATGATCTTCTATTAAAATTACTTACTAATAGCGGAAATAATTATTGGGTAGTTTAGGAGGATTTCAGTGAGTAAATATACTGAAAAATTTTACGTTTCTTTACTATTTTACATCGCTGTGTTGTTTTATACAGATCACATTATAAATAATATTTGTTAATTGTCTTTTAAAAAAATATGACAAATTTTAATACATAAAATTAACGAGAAGTACCTACTTTCAACGTTATATTATATTAACTTCTTTAAAGGAGCTATGTTTCATTTCCCGAATATTCTAAATCTAAAACCCTTTGCACAACGCTAACATAAATCCTTTACTTTATTTTCCTATCAAATTTTCCTCATCCGACACCGTACCCACCTACTCGTAAAAAATGTACAGCTTCCATATTTCCTATCAATTGAACCGAAGCCGACGGCGCATGCGCGATCAAAATGGCGGCGGTGAAGACACGCCCACTTCCGCCGGATGTCCGAGCGAAGCCTACCCTTTGATACTGTCTACAGATAAGGGTTGTTTTATATTTATGAGGATAAATAAAATAAATGATCATGTTAGATAATTATCCTAAACTAAATTATGGCTTTGTTTTTTGGTAGAAATTCTTATACTCGTATTATTAATTTTACGTGAATATATAAATATTTACGTATAATTAAGAATTTTTTGTTATCTTTTTAATCCATCGTGTTAATTATGTGTTGGAATGTTGCAAGTAGCTAAAGGTAAATGGTTAAATTGAATAAAGAAGCAAATGGATAATCTTCATGTATTAAGATTGAATTTACTTAAAATAAAAATTATTTATCTTTATTTATGGGAAACTAGAAAAATAAAAACAAACTCATGCCACGGGAATCGTACTTTTTTCTGGGATAAAAAGTGGCCTATGCACTATTACAGACTATAATCTCTATCTCTGTGCCAAATTTCATCCAGATCCAGTCAACCGTCTGGCGTAATTTAGTAACATATATCCATCCATCTATACATTCATATTTATAATATTAGTAAGATTTAAATTATACAAAATGTATATTTATATAAATCTATAATTATATAAATCGAATGAAAACGTTCTTTTAATGAAACATAATTTTCATTTTTTCACATGCTATAGTTGTCGTTATAGTTAGTACCTACCCTTAAAGAAAAACTTCAATGTAACTACGACATATGAATAGGTATCAGTGTTTAATAAGTTTACATTATTATTAAATAAAGGTATAAATTGTGAACACTGTACAAAATTCGTTTCCTCTACAAATAATTGAAATTACTCTCATACCTAAGTATTTACTTTTTTCTAGTTTCTCGAATCAAAACTGTTGCTCAAGATTTAATATTAAACACGCAGAATACCTACGCTACCCACATAATTTATATCCTAAAACTCGATCCATATAATTTTACGTACTCGTCACAGTTTTGTAGCGACGCGACGGTCATTAAAACGCTGTGCCATCCCGAACTATTAAAATCACGTCTATTAAACATATGGCTCTTAAGACTAATTTATGAGACGTATACAGAAACACAACGTGCAATGATTATTAATAAAACTAAACAGTTTGTACGTCACCAAACCGGCCGCAAAAAAATGAATTTCATCAACGAATGTACCAACAGAATGACGGAGCGCGTTGTAAAAGGAGTACGCGCTGATATTTATGGTGTATTGAATTTGCTATCGTGTAGTATGAAAGATGGGCCCGGACGAACATCTGTCATCCCCCACTGCTATCGGCCGACTGACAGCGCGCCACCCTTTTCACAGGGGGAGGGGATAAAGCCCCGCCTACTGTTTAAAAACGCCTTACACACAAAGGGCGCATGTCTCGAATTTTGGAGCAAACAAAATTCTACTCTATCACGCTACTATTAAAGTCTTTTTGTAAATTATTACTTTACATGAATATTAGGGTTGTGCGATGTAACTTTTTTCAATAATTATTTTTCTTACAATGCAAAGATATTTCGGCGTGCAGTACAGTAATTGGTTTCAAGAATAAAAATAGGCAGCGCGTTATATTGCTAAATATATTATGCAATTTTGAGCTGTATTTCAAACTTGTTTAGAACTGAAATGCTGTAGAGGAATAACAGTCGATGCATTTTTGTATTCGCCACGGTGTGCGACGATTGAGTCGTCCTGTCCAGTGTAATTATTATAAAGATTCCAGATAAGAGATACACGTCTTTGTTTCGCGGTTTTTTGTTTGCATTATTAGCGGGCCTTTTGTGCATTTAAACGAAACAAATTTAAATGGAACAATGCGAGTCGATATAGTTATAAAAGCACACGAGCAAAAAAATTATGCAGTCGAACGATTTTAATTGAATTTGTGCTGCACCTTGTGTTAAATTTATTTTTATATCAAAAAGTTTGTCAAAACGTTAGTCAACCGTGCTAATTAGTTATGAGGAAACAGAAGTATTATATGTAATATAAATAAGAGAGTTTAAACAATAAAATCACAAAATAAATTAGGCATCTTACGTTTGATAGAAAAAAAATCATTTTCAAACTCGGCAATATATGGAATTAATCTCCAAGTGCAATCTAAGGGTAAAATTATAAAAATATAAGCTACATGACAATTATGTACCTATCAACAATAGATATCGGTAATATAAATAATTTTCTCTGAAATCCGGAAACGCGATGGCGCCGCATCTAATCACATCCACGTGTACGAACGCAACACGAACATGTGTTCCGAATTACATTAATTTCAATATTTTTGTTTGAAGCGCTCCGTTTTCTAATTATTTTCAGCGTAGTCGTTCAAAATATTGTCCTTATTAAGCGGAGTTTAATTTGGTAGAGTTCTGATTAATGTCAACTTTAACGTCATGTGACAGGTGTCCGCTGTGCAACATCTTTATCGCAGTCAAGTATAATTACTTA